CTACAATTAATAATTGTCTCAGTAAATGCCCAAACCCTACAGAACTGGTGCCTTCAGAGAGCCACTACAGTTACATATTTGGCGTCCCTGAGCCTCACATGACCAAAATAAGTGAGCCGGAATCTAGTGATCTTTCCCTCAAGCGAAATTTCTGGCTTGATGCACTCCAGAACCTCTTGCTGGTGACCACTGCTGTCCACAGTCTTCTCCAGCACCATAGCTCGAAAGCATCCATCCTCTTTCGGTCAGCTTTTTTCAAGGTCCAGCTTTCACACCCATACATTGATATTATTTATGATTTACTTTATTTAGATGTATATAAAACATTGAACTGTGACATAACATTCAAAACACAATTGAAAATAGTCTGTGATATTTGTGTAGACTAAACTTTTCTAAAATTTATTTTTAAAAAATAAAAAATGATTAAAATGTATCATCTTTCCATGTGTAATGTCATTAGATTGTACAATAGGCCCCTGATTTGTTTAGCGATGGTCTCAAATATAAAACTAATTGGTGAGAAAGCTATGTTTAATGATAATTAAAAGATTTCAAGATAAAATAAATTATTTACATTCCTTTATTGAGTTTTAAAGGCAGACACGTTCAGTGCCATAAACACTGCAAGCTGCAGAACTGTCTCCTTACGGCACCGCCTCTTCTCTGACTGAGCTTAGTGCGCTATTTTCTCAGCTACCTGCTAATTTGCTTCACACCACGGGAAGACGGGAGAATGTGAGTGTACGAAATGCATGTTGCGTTTACAAAATTAAAGTGTTTAAAATGTTTAATAAAAAGTTTTAAAAACTTACAGCTTACACAAAGATCTGATCACAAGGAAAATCACCCATTTTTCGTGGATTTCGTGTTTTTAAATAACCCGTTTTTATGGGTTTTAAAATAATGCAATGTCTGTTTTAGGCAGACACGTTATTTTTTCTTATTTTTATTTTCTTTAAAATTAAAAGAATCAGTTTCCAATTCTGCCACACAATATTATGTTACATTTTTATGTTTTTGAGAGACTTCAGAAGGCTTCAACTGATGCATAAAAAATATAGCATAATGCCTTCTTACGTTATAAAGTCACTTGCACCTGGGATCTGCTTTATTCAAATTAAGGTTTCTAAAAATGCAACCAGGTACTAGATATGTTTAAATAAAAGCTGTGAAAGTTTTCACAAATTGTGATCTTTAAACCTGTAGGTTGCAGGCTGTGTCATCTGTTCACAAAGATATTGATATCTGAAACTTTTTTCGGAAAAACTTTCACTCTCACCCCTGGCAAGATGAGGGGTTTTCAAAAACATGACGACTATCATGACAAATTTCATGACTTTGTGCTTAATTCGGAATTCAGAATTGATTTGCAATCCCGTCAATTAATTTACACTCACCCTGTGAATCCTACCAGCTGCAAAGTATAGATAAAGTGCATGAATGTAACCTAATGTAGAAAATATTTAGCTTTTTAGACAAAGTTAGATTAGTAATACACCAAAAAATAGTGAGCTATCACAACAGTGGTTTAAGTCAGCAATGATTTTTGAGAGTTTATTAAAAATATATTTTAACGCTTTTGTGGAATTTAATTTGCAGACAAGAAAATGCGGTACTTACATTGCAGTTTGAGGACTCATTTATATTAGTATTGGATTCATCAGTCCACTCTGCATTGTCAGTACTGCCGGACTGTCTGCTCTGGGTCTCATACTCCTTCAGCTACAGAGAAGAAGAGTTTAGGAAATGACTCAGATGCTTTTTGTTGCTGGAAATGCAACTAGGGTTTGTGATGTTGACTGCATTACTATTCAATGGCTACAACACTGACTATAATTACTAATATAACTACAGTAATCAAACACAACAAACAATTTGTATTATTTTTCTAAACAAGTCATGACTTTTACTTTGTGCCAATTAATTGGACAAAACAGAATTTACAAATACCTGCCACGGAAATGTACATTAAATAATCAGACATTTAATAATGTCATTTAGTAATTAATTATGTTTAGACTGAATATGTTTTAATCTAAAATAAATTCCATAAATTATTATCTAAAAATGCAATGAGTTTAAAATAGTCATTAATAGACATTAATGACTACTTTGTACCAAATCTGGTTATTTTGTTAAACAGAACCAAAAATGATGTTTTATTTCCTGAAAAGAATCAACCTTTGAGTCATCTGATGAAATGTTTATCTTGTAGTAAAAACATATATATTTTTTTGGACTTATAGATTTTTGGAAAATAGATATCACAATCATGATGCTGCTCCTGCTGTTGGGGACAATGGGACAGAAAAAGGAATAAACCTCCAAGGGAGCTTTGACAGGAAACCAACGTTCTATGTCTCTACAGAATTCAATATCAACACTAAAATCATATGCCTCCTAGCAAAGTACAAGTTTGTTAGGAAGTGTTAATTTCAGATAAGTGGTTTTAGTAAGAGGTGACTGAAGCATGAGGAAGACACAGGAGCAGTGTGTTCCACTCTGCAGTGTAGGGACTGTGATTCACAAAAGGTTAGCTTTTTGTAAGCGCTGATAACCTGTTCCTGCAAGACTGTGAGGCAGGTGCCACAGGCCACGTCTGCTTCCATGAGGCAGATAAAGTCAGAACAGCTTTATCAAGCTCTCCCCTTGAAGTTTAAAGCGAGTTGGCTGTATGACCTGCTAGGTTTGATTTTATGAGCTCCTATCAGGGAATGGATCCAGAAACAGGGGATTCCTACCCGAGCCAGGGCCTCCTCCACCGTTATCATCTTCTCTTTCACCATCATCATCAGCTGGATGCGCTCCTCATCACTCATTGTGATTTCACTGGCCACGTAGCCAATGTCCTCTCCTGCAACACAGAATGGGATCTGTAAAAAAGAGCCTCAGTGAGCAAAAATGTTCAACATATAGGAGAGGCAGGAGAGCATATTCAAAGCTTTACATTTTGCAGCAGCGTGGAAGAGTGGTTAGAGCTCTGGATGGTTGTTGTTTCAAATCCCAAGTGGGACACTTCTGTAGTATCCTTGAGCAAGGTACCTCACGCAAATGTTTCAGTGAAATGCAGAGATGTTCAAATGTAAATTTGTAAAATGTAAAAATGTAAAAAGAAAATGTGCAGTTTAGAAACTAAGTGCTCCAAGGTCTATGTTTGGCAGACGAATGCTGCTCTGTGTTTCTTCACAGATTGTCATACCTTTTGATGACTGCCGCGTTACTCCCTTCTGTGACTTGCGAAAATTCTGCCAAAAAGACTTGTTTTTCTTCTTGCAATCCCCTTTCCCTTTAAAAAAACAGGCTCAGTCATGTTAAAAGAGAAATGTGTATTCTTAAAAAAATGAAAAACTCTACATGGGAAAAAGAACAACAGTGTTGCCAATTATTAAGGACTTAATAAAGTTGCAACACAAATTCTAATTTTGTCCCCCAAATTAATACATTGGAAAAAGTGAATCTACAGTATAAACCTTAAATAATACTTCAAATTAAACTGTATATTAAATCATAGAAAGATTTTCATTATTTTTATAAAGATTTAATGCTGGAGTAATGTTAAATATTAACAAAACAGCCCAGAGATATTTTGTTATTACAAGGCCCTGGGATGCTGCAGATATTAGCATAAATAAGCAATTTCTAATAATGGATGAAGATTTCATGTTAGAAAAAAAACATTAAACAAGGTTTTTACAGTATTGTTTGATCCACATGTTACTAAATAACATAGTTAAGTAAAAATGCATTTAATTATTGCTGTTAATTTTCTCAAATACTGAGTGCATATTTTCAGCTATTGAACTAGCAACAGAATTACTTTTATGCTACATGAATTACATACTGTATATACTTTCATGCTTTTTATGCTATATATGAAGGTTCTTAAAGATTTTATTAAGATCACCCCAAAAAATAGGTAAGACCCTGAAATAAAACAGGATAATTAAAAATAAATACAAGATAATATTATTTTTGGAGCAATAGAAAACATATCACTACTATTTCTATGAGCAACAATAATTGAATAAAAATTCAAAGAGCTTTTGTCATTCACCATTTGGCAATACTTCTCTGAAAAGTTTTGAAGCTCTCAGACCTTGGCTACCAGGGAAAGCATTTTCTGCATTCCAATGACATTTTCTAAGGTGTGTGTTTGGTGGGGGAAGGGGCTGCCTCTCTATATTGTGTCTTGGGATGTACACTACAGCCACAACAGGCCCAAGATTAGATAATACAATTTTCCTTGCACTTATCATCGTTCTCAACAAACAACAGCTTCCACTAGTCACAGAATCTGGTAGAGACACTATACAAACAACTAGCCTGTATAAAACTGTCTGATTTTTTGCTTTTAAAGAGCAAGACATTGATCATGTCAGTACAGGATACCAATGAATGGATACGAATGAATATGAAATTAAGCATTTATTATTGCAGTGTTGTTTACTGCAATCTCTCACGAAGATAAGAAAAGTAAAGTCAAGACCAGAGCCACAGTGGCTCATCAGGCCACTGTTAGCTGTAAACTCTATGGGATATTCAGCACAAATAGAATAATACTAACCCACAGATCCATCTTCAGAGCTAGACTTGTGAAGGGATAGCCTAAAAGCAAACAAACAAAAATTACAAATTTGCAAAGGAACTGGAAATAAAGAAAACCATTCCCTTATCAATATTAGCCTCACCTGCTTTCAAATACATTTTGCTTCATTGTGTTTCTGTTTAGACTTATTTCAGATTCATTTGTTTCCACCCTTCAAGGGGAGAATTCCAAATGACCAATGCTACATTGTTTCTACTGGTAACGACAAACTTTAGTGTTCATAAAAAGGTCTTTGAAAACCAATCAGAGTCAACAATGATGGAAAAAAAACAAAAATGATCCTACTACTTTTAAACAGAGCAGAGATCACAGTGAGTCGCCCCGAAACAATAAAGCCTTTTGACAAATAGGGAATACAATTATTACAAATAAAGCCCTCACATTGTAACCACATTTAAAATAAACTCTCATTTACATTAGCTAACACTTGTTGCTGATGCTACCTGTCCTCTGCAATACAAAGTGTGCAGTATCACAAACACACCACAAAAGCACAAGAGGGCAGTATCAGTACTCAAAACAAGTGCCCAAAACAACAAAGGTTTATATGTTAGTATGAAAGATAATGTGTGGGTTTTCAGGTTGACACAGAGACAAGCAAACTGCAGCATTTATTTCTGCCTGCACTGTTCTGTTAACTTAAGCACAGTCCCTAATGAATAAGATTGCTAAGAAAGAAAAACCATGCAAGGCACAATTAGGCACACAATTGTCTAAAAACATTATTCAGACATTTACAGCCTTTTTGTTTTATAATTACTAAATTAAGATGAAAGCAGACTTTTTTCTTGTTAAACTCTTCTATGGTATTTTAGGAAAACGTTCATAGAGGGATCATTATCATATTTGACCCACATCATAAACAAATTCTACAGGATACCAAGACTGTAAACACATACTTTACAATAGGACCATTCATGTACAAAGATTCTTAAGACAAAATCATAATTTATCAAGCCAACCCTGCCTTGATCTCCTTAAGAAAAAAAAAACATTTTCAGTTTGTAGAAAGCCAAATAAGATAAAAAGCACATTGTTTTTAAAAACCTTCTCTTAAATACTCAAAAAGGTGTGCCTCTGTTAATGAAGATGTGGTATCAATGGCACATAATATGAAACATCTATATCACTGGAATTCTCAGGAAATACTTGTGAGTACCCTTAGGTTAGTCTGGTTATCCAAAACTGCCATTTCCATTATCTTAAGCTAAAAGCTTTTTCTCTGTTATAAAGGCATAGGTTGGTTTACAAAGTGTTGAAGTTTATGTAGAAATGCATCATAGATTATTCTTTAATTATTCAGTTTCTGCCAGGAAACTTTGTGTAGACCTGTTATGAGAGTAGTGCGTGTATATGAGTGTTATGCTGCAAAATAAATGATAATAAAAAAATCTTTGTTCTCTAAGTTATCATGGTCTCAGTTCTTTCATATCTGGCAGAAAATGATAACAAGAAATTAGAGGAAAATTAGATAAACCACTGGAGCGGAGAAAGAGTTAGGAGAATGGGAATGGAGTGAGTATGCTTAATTTACATTATTCTATCATTACTCTACTGTAATTAACTCCATTAAAGTACAGTAGTTCTGCATTTATAACAGGGTATACTATATAGCAATATCATAATAGTGGTCTAATTTATTTGTTTGCACATGGAATAACTTGTATTTTAAAAATGCTATATTTTACAGTATTTTATCAAAATTCTTACTACCAATAATTATTCTTACTACCAACATTACTTCTGAAATTGTTAAGTTATAACAAAATGCCCTGTTTTCTCCATAAGGTGGATGCTGCACATTGGTGGTGGTGGAGGAGAGTCCCCATTACCTGTAAAGCGCTTTGAGTGGAGTGTCCAGAAAAGCGCTATAAGTGTAAGCAATTATTATTATTATTATTATAAGGTATTAAGTCCTGTGTTTGCAAAATTACCATTTGCAGAGACTTCAAGGTACTTAACCCTCATGAATACCTAGGTTTTACTATATATAAGGTAAAGATGCTAAGCTATGCTAAGAAACACTAACACAATGGATGACTGCACTTCAGTAAATCAAAGCTATTTTCAGGTTTATACATGCTTTCTAATGAGAGATTTAAAATGTGAAAATGATCTAATTCAAATGCCGTGATGTAATAATCTCAGAAGAGGACCCTCAATTTTATGTTGCAAGGCTTCTATTTTCAGAGAGCAGGTGTTTAAGATTGCTTCTGAGGTCATCTCGACATGGAATGCCATTCCCCAAGATTAGACTCTGATTAGGTCATGTACCGATGTACTACAGTCATGGTTGCAAAAGGTGGACAAACCTATTATTTATTCTGTGACACCTAGGCAAAGGGTGCCCATCCAGCCAAGGATAAAGTTTAATCAAAAATAAAATCAGAATAAAACCTCTTGCAAATAACTGAGATGTAGTAACAGTAAAGTATTATGTATTACTTTAAGCAAACAATTCATCATAATACATTTAAGTCGTGTAAGTTTTTTACTGAACTTTATAAAAATTAAGTACCATAAGAAAAAAAATCTGAATTTTGTCAGATTGCGGACAACCAGTAGAATGAACAGAATTCTTCTTGAATTTGCCCCATTGGTTTCCTGTTGTTTTATTACTCAGGGATTAAACCAAGCAGATTTTCTGCATATCTGAGGCCTAAGTTTAAATGTGCTTTTTTATATGGTGTTTTCTGGGAATTACCTCACGCATTAAAAAAAATAGCACTTTGGCAATTACATTGCAGTCCAACAAATGAGACAGGATCCATCTGCCTCCCATATGTCATCCACCCTGCAAAACACATTCCCCAACACTATACTACTGCTATAGCTATCGCACATTCTTTCTTATACCCGAGCTGCATAACAATACTTGGGAAACCCTGGAAGTAACACAAGCTATGAAACTATCGCAGTGTATCATGCACCAGGCCAGAAAGGTAATGTTCTAAACTTTGTTGGTTAGACTGTCTAAAAACTGCTAGCACAGGAATAAAAGTAACCAAAAAAATCTTAAGAAGCATAAGATAACATAAAGTATTGCATAAGTAAGCACAGAGGGGGGAAGGTCATCTTCTGATTTTTATGAGATACTCAAAAAGGCAGCCCCACGTCGTTGGAAGATTATGGTTATCAAAACAGACTTTTCATTGTAGTGCACAGACCACAGCAGAAACACAGTTCCTGTCACCTGCAATGTGATTTTGCAGGTTTACAATTAATTTATCAGACCTCTCAAATTTCCCTTTCAAATTAATTCTTTCCCTATAAGTAAAACATCATTACACATAAGTTAAAATGTAGGCTAAACCTTGACTTAAATTAGGGATGGTTTTAAAACATTTAAATACTTATGCTTATATATATTGCCTGTGGTGAAAACAAAAGACAAAAAAGGCTGCAATCCTTCTGCTCGAGGGGGAAATTATAAAACCTGAACACAGTTCCTTGAAGATTTGAATGACTTAATGTGTGGGAGATAATTCTACACCCTCAGATCTTTAGTATAACAGGATTACTGGATATTGCAATGTCATGGTTTCAGTGCACTCTTCAGCCTCATCTCTGCTTTTGAGACTTAAAGAACAATTGAATTTTTGGAGCAATTCAATTTCACATGGAGTGACTAGGTATTTGCCAGGGGACGTGTAGCAGACTGCCAAACAAGTACAGGAGACAGGAGGCCATGCTAGTGCACTACCCGCCCTGAGCCACCACAGGGAACACAGCAGTAGAGAGTGTCAGCTACCGACAACCACATAATGATACTTAATGCTCACTTCACACACTCCTACCAGCTGAGATACATTAAATGTCTTAAATTGCTTGGAATTAAGCTTAGCATTTGATTAGACAACAACTGATTTTTTCCTAGAGCTCTACACGGGACTTACAACGTTTTGAGAATTTAAAGTTTACTTAGATAGAAGTAATGCAGATTGTTAAGTATATTTGTCCATATTGTACTTGTTTCTATTTACCATGTACATCAGTCTAGTCTTGTACCAACACTGTGGTTTACTTTTTTGAAGCCTTTACAATATTTGTCCCAAATTAAGACTTATTCTGTAACCGTCACTTCTAAATGATGGTTTCTTAGTACGGTTCTTTGAGATGGCTTTACAGATAACGATACATAGCATAAATCTTTCTGCAGGGCACTGTGCGAGAAAAGTGACCTCATTCTTAATTTGAACACAAGCTTATTCTGCTTGTTAAAAGTTGGGATCCTTCAATAATGCAATAGTTTTCTTCCTCTCCATTCATGTTCTACTACAGTAACTTTGCTCTAAAGGGTTAATGATGCAGTGACATTTGGCAATGGCCTCCACAGTGTATGACAAGCAGCAAATGTAGTTTTTTCACTCCAGTGGAGCTAGGAAAGGGTTTATTTAAGCAAGAGATGATATACAACTACTCCAGCAATCCTCTAACTGACCTGTTGCCTTTCCTTAATGCTACTGCTGCTCCAAAATTACAAAGACATATATTAACACAAAACTGACCAAACGCACCATACCTGTGAAATTTAATTTAAGACAAGCTTTTCAAAAAACAATTAGGATTTGAAGATGCAGTGATCAGAACATTGGTCGGATTGCTGTTTAGTTATATATGAAAAACTTATAATGAAGCAAGATTTGTCAGAAGACTGATAAAGATAATGTAAACATTTTAAATTAATGTATTTATGGACTACATTTAGATACAATAAAATCTCTGAATTGAATGGATAGAAGAATTACAATTATTAAACATTATTGGTTTCATTATACGTCAAAGGATGAGGAAAAAAATCAGATCACTTTTTAAGCAAAATCTGTTTTGACACGTGAAGAAGGCTCCACAGCTGAAACATTGTCTCTTTTCTTTTAAGTATGAAATAAACCTTTATCTGTTCCTTTAAAATATGGTTTGGGATAGCTGAGTGGTGCATGTTTTCTTTTTATGCACAGTCTGCATGGTACAGCAGCCTACGCTTTTGTGCCAAGAAAAC